AGTTCGTTTCCTCTTCAGATCTCGTACCATCTGCAGAGTGCCTATTTTGAAATCACACTTTTCATCTTCGTGCAAGGATTTTACGTCGGGAAGAAGTGACAGAAGAAACAATCTGTCTGCGTCCGGGTCATCTTCCTTGGTTTTTTGTTTGTCTAGCATTTTCAATAACTGCGTTTGGAATGTTGTTATACCTTTCTTCTTGAAGTGAGGCGCAGTTGGTTGAGGTGGACCAGACTGTCCCCACTGAAATGACAGGTTACTAGTTGGAGGTATAGTTTCCAGTGGTTGCGGACATGCTGCATGAGTGTTCTGGTGACTTCCTGACCGTTGGTGTTGTTGTTGTGGGTTCAAGTGGGTATTGACGCTACTGGCAAGAGGCTGATGGAACATCTGGTGTTGTTGCACTTGAAAACCTGTAGTGGATGAAGGGTCATTAGTCAACGAAGCCCTCACCTCTTGCAATAAGTTCATTACCTTCATTCGAAATCGAGCTGCGTGTCGATTGGTAAGGGTTTTACAAGTGGCAATAGTGATTCAAAGAAACTTTTATCGTCGTCTGCATCTTGGGTATTTGGCTGTACAGCAGGAACGGTGTCTTCTGGACAGTCCATGAAATGTGAAAAGCTATCTTCGATCACCAGCGTACTTTCATTGGGAGGTTGATTGCTGAAGATACTCGCTGGGGTTGTTGCTACTGGGTCTGTATCGGGGGGACGTGCTGACGGTCCTGCGCCATCAATCGGAGGCGACTCTGCAGAACGAGAGTCAGGATCTTCCATATCGTCAGGATCATCAAGGTCCTCTTCCAACACTTGCTCTGATTCGTCGTCAAGTCTACACGTGTTTAGAGTTTTAGATCCGATAGCGGATAAAAATTCCATTTGTTTGCCATATATGTAACCCCGGGTAAAGGTATTTTTTCTTAAATGCCTGAAATAGGCATCCCGAAAATTTTTCCATTTCTTTATCATCTTTGACTCTGAAACAGATAAAATGTACTATTAGGGTTATATTTATCCGTCTACGCTATAATATGAGTAGAGTTTGCACACAATGAATACAAAACCGGGTTCTATGATTTCCTCCAAATTTTTGAAATCTCTTAGTTTTAGTCTAAAAACAATATCCATGCTAGGCTTTGTTCTGGGAAAATTCGTTATTCTTTAAAGCTTAAAATGAAATTATTTTTAACATTTTATGGACTGTCGAGTAGCTATTGCAGTTTTACCAAAATGTAAACAATTGAATTGTAACATAGCTTGTAACAAATCATCTGTAGTACAGTAGCAAATAACAAAATACAGTACAAAGGAAAAGGACATTCCTATGAATGCTATTGAGCATTGATTATACAGGCTAATACATATAATATATATGTACTGTATTATAATAATTATATGTATCGATTCGCCACCGGAATCGATGCGTTGTTCCATGATCTCGTAAATAGTTGCGACGTTCCGCGATCCCAGTGACTAACATAATAACGTTCAACAGATGTTATGTATCATGAGTTTTAATATTAAAGTTTATTGCAGAAACTTTCAATATAGATTAAGATTGCTATTACACATGAAAAAGCTCGTTAGGTAAGTCAAAAACGAATGACTTTACAACATAATGAATCGTAGCAAAACTTAAAATATTTTAAGGCTTGTAGGTTTTATTTGTTTAACTTCTTGAACAAAAACAAGGGTTTGGACAGTTCCCTTTCAAAACGTAAAAAATGCCACTGACGTAAAACACACAAACACACGATATAAAATCAAACACCTCGAGCAATGTTCGGTAACCTGGTACTTATTTATTCCCTTAAGAGTCATTGGAGCCTAGACGTTCTAACTCATAAAACAATTAAAGAACTACAAAGCAAATTTCTAATCTCACAGTATACTAAAATTACAATCCCTTTGGTATTTGAAAAAATATTTTGAGGTGGTAAATATCTCTTCAGCGGATAGTTAACAAAATTAACTTTATTCTTAAGGGAGGCAAATCCAAGATGGCCGTTGGCTTCTATGGAACCCCTTGAAATACATTCAAAACCAAAAACAACATTTCTAATCTCACAGTATAATAGAAATTCACATTATGACCACTTTGGTGCTTGAAAACTATTTTTGGCTGATAATTAACTCTTCAGCGGATGTTTGAAATGATCCAAGACGGCCGCTAGCCTCCAAAGACTCTTAATAGAGGATTATGTTTTAGGTGTCCTTGAAGTGGCCATAGCATTAAGAAATTGCATTATTGACCACTTCTATGTGTGCTACGGACTTGGAATTCTCCAGGCTTCTTGGTGATGACCTTTCACCCCTCCTAAATTTCTAAATGACGACTAACAGCTAGGGGGCCTAGGGCGAGCCAAAGGCGAGTCTGTCCTTAAAGTCCTCTAAAGTTTCATCCCACAGAACTGGGTTTGCCTCCACTAATAAAATCAAAACATCATTGTCAATTATCACTTCAGTTGTTGTTTTTTATAATCCATTCGCCAATTCATCTGATGCAATTATCACTCACACTTGTCACTATTCACTCCGAAAAACAAACGCAGTATGCGAAATGCACAGCACTAGGTGCAGCGATAACTAGGACTATATACTATATACTATGGGGAGAAGACTCGACATCCAACAAAAAAAATCCTAGTGTGGGCGAGCGGGAGCGCCCATTTGATCGTGTACGCCACTGCGAGCACGACAGTCGAGAATTACAGTGGCAGTGGACGACTGCAACTGTCGTGGCCACGAGACTGTCGTACACTGGGCGAGCGCTCAATTTTATAATGATTAAAAATTATAAAAATCCCTTCATTCGATTTTCATCTTGTATCTTTTTTATATTATCAGCAAGTTTGGTTGGTTAGGTTAGGTTATGACAGTTTAATTTTATAATTATATTAAATAATTAAACAATTAATTTTTAATTAAAAAGTTGACGTGATGGGCTATCCCACAATACCCCAATCCTTCGCAAAGAGGTTCTCATCGGTTTCTGACCAGGATCCTAAGGCGCTGGTCACGGCACGGTGGTTGGGGGGGGGTTTGTCCTCCAGAGAAAGTCTCGTTAAAAATGCTATTATAAAATTTAGATGGTGTATGCCTATTGCCTATCAGTCTGTCGGGGCAGCTGTCACGACTAAAATACTAAACCAATACAGCCAAAATTAAGTAAAAAGATGGCCCGCATATCTAGGAATGGCATTAGCCTATTCACTTCCTGGATTCCTCTAGGGATAGCCCATAGATTATGCATTCTAAATCTATTTCAATGATTATGAAACTGGTATTTTCCCGTTGCGTAGCACGGGTAATACAGCAGCTAGTTGGTAATAAAATATAACAAAATAGACTGTATATAGCCTATATATATCTTACCTAAAACATATTGCTCCTTCTCGGGTTTTTCTTTGAAGTCTGGAAACATAATACAACATACTTCCTGCCACGCATTTCTCTTCTTGGTTTTGTCGTGGTATTCTACATGACTAGTGTTCCACAGACACGGCCGCTTCTTCACGGATTCAATGAACGTTTTGATATTAAATTCACTGAGATACATCAACGACATGATCATGGACGTACACAATGAAAACAAAGAGGAACGAGTTGCAGTAGCAGCGCGGCGACCGACTGCACGAGTAGACAGCTCACATATGCGGAGCTGCAGAGCTAGTGACTAGCTAGTGGCTACGAAGCAGTCCCTCCCTGGCGGTCGATTGCGGCAACGCGCTCGATCGCAGCTGTCATGTGGACGTCATGCGCTCGCTTCATTTGATTCCGTGGTCCACGTCCAATACTAATCACGCATACGATCTAGTGAATGTCAAAGAGAGAAGATATTATTGCAGCGATAAAGAGGTCCAGTTGTGGTTGAGAGGAGCGAAATCTTTGTACGATGAAGATGGATAGAGATAGCGTAAGTGCCGCTGCATTGGAGTGAGAGAGACAGTTTTCTCTGTGTAAGTTATAAATCTGCTATTGCTCGCTTCGCATAATGTCGGATGTTTGGAGACACATAAGAGATAGCCTCCTCTTGGCCGGTTAGTTGACCCATTACCTATTTGTATAGTTGAATTCGCCACCTTCAGCATTAGGTTGCATTTCAGACAACAACGCAGCCTAAATGCCGAAGGTGCGTGTTTACAGAAAGAATGTAAATAAATTGTTTTCCTTTAACAGAACTAGAAATTTCATCCCAATGTTTAAGTTATCAAAATGAACGTAGTTGAAGTGAGCCACGACAGATTGCACACTGATTCCTGTCAAATATGCGGACTTAAACAACCAGCTCAAACACACAGGACCACTTATTGTAAGCTATGACATCTTTTATTCCACCACGTCAACTATTTCAGTAACAAAAAGTAAAGCAAGAGCAAGAGAATTAGTTATAGCATTGACTATAATGTAGTCAATGATTTTAGACACTAGCGCAAACTTTGTCAAGTTCCAGAACTATTTTCTTTTTTAATAAAAACTAAGCAGCTGTTGGTCCATATTGATGGGATGTCTAAAAGACAATAGCAAAATGGAGTGATCTGTGAATTTTTTGTTTCTGACTATGATTAGCTGTTTCCTTGGATAGGATCAAACCATTCTGCTACCAAGTTAAATTAAATCAGTCCAGAAAAAAGTTTGACAATAACTTTAAGGTACGTACTCGCAACTCAAGTAAACTATGTAGTTTATTATAATGTTATTTGGACGTATAGTCTAAATACTCTAAATATACAGTGGAAAAAGGAAGATGAAGTGTAGGTACACATACAATTATTGTTTTTTAGATAAATTTATTACCTTACTAGAAGTACATTATAGCGTGTTGTCAACAGTCATAACGGTAAGTACTTGACAATATACATTATTTTGAGTTAAAGTCATGACTCGAGTATGAGTAAGCAACGAGTTACCTATAAATAATGGGTAAACAATGATAACAGACCTTGAAGGTATTGAGAAAATCACATGTGACAATTTATGTAAAAATATGGTCTTTCTTTAATTCTTTGGTATATTGTAGAATTGTACATTGTTCCCAAAGATGGACTGTACAACGCGTCCAACGTGGACCACTGACCACTCCCCACTATCTTTGCCAATCAAACCATGTGGTTATCTGCCGAAGATTCTACTTTGCCCATAAAACCTTACCATTAAAATTATGATACAGTACAAAATTACGTCGGACTAGCTAGTTTGAGCATCTTCTATCACAGTTCGTTTCCTCTTCAGATCTCGCATCACCTGCAGAGTGCCTATTTTGAAATCATACTTGTCGTCATCGTGCAAGGATCTTAAATCGGGAAGAAGTGATAGAAGAAACAATCTGTCTGCGTCCTGGTCATCTTGCTTTGGTTTTGGTGTGTCTAAAATGTTCAATAACTGCGTTTGGAATGTTCTTAATTTTTTCTTCTCAAGTCGAGTGACAGTTGGTTGAGGTGGAGGTGAAGAAATTGGGGTATATGATGCCTCAACTGGAGTATATAATGTTTCATCGGGAGTATTTGATGTTTGAACTGGTGTATAGGAAGTTTGTACTGGGGTATAAGCGAATTGTTCTTCTGTTGGTTCATCTTCGTCCATGCTGTTGTCTTCTTGCAATTCTTCACCTGGGTCAGTCTTTTCAACATTATTTGTCTGCCTTTTATCTGAAGCATTGAGAAGAAACTCCAGATGCTCACTATAGATGTATTTTTTCCTTTTATGCCCTGGTTCTCCACTTTTACTAAGCGATCTCATGAAAGTGTCTCGTATGTTTCTCCATTTACTCTTCAAGTCTTTGACTGAAAAAATCACAAATAATTTGAGAAAAATATTAAATTCTTTGACATACTAGCACTGACTTAATGTTCAGGACATAGACTTTGTTTACGAATTTTAGAGTTGCGAATCGATACGAATTTTAAGTATAGATTCGTCTCAAATTTGGTTTAAAAACCAACAAAACTGAATCTCACTGTAATATTTTTCAGATACCTTCCTATACTACTAACTACTGGAACGACGTTTGGAAGCCTGTGATACGAGGTTTACTACTGACAATACTACAATATTTCAAATATTTTACCAGTTGTCGAAAGATATCCTGGAGCAGTGTCTTTCCAACACCAGCATTTGTTTAAAACTAATAACACGTTTCAATGTTGTATGTATGTTTTAGGTATGTAGATTTTTACTCGCACTTTGACTCATTAAACAACCGGACCGGTTTGTATTATTTGTGGTTTTGTATTAAAAAGCATGTAAGACTTGCCATTAAAATATGTAAACGTAATAAATATATAAAGTATTAATCTACTTCAATATTGTTTTTATTGTGTGGATGTTTTGAAGAAATTCAGATAGAGGTAAAAGGTTTTTGACGTACAATGCAATAGTATTATTTTTAATTTAGTATCGAAGGTGGCACGTTTCATGTGTGGGCGCTCATTTTTCATGTGTTTTCCTCACACAGGAAACAGTCATTTTCACGTGCGAGAGGTATTCTCTCAGACGAGGTTAAGCATTGATTTTCCCTACTTTGGACTAACAACAGACTATATACATCGATGAGAATAAGTTGAGCACATGAATAATTGGAGCAAGTGCCAGAAAATCACCTTCAATACAAATTATGAACGACCCTTCTCATAATGGTGCAAAAAGATTCACAAATAGAATAACAGATCATAGAAGAATTAAAACCACTAATTTTCCTTACTAGTATTATTTTAGTATAAAAATAAAAGCAAATAGGTTATAGCGAACATATCAACGTAAAAAGTTATGTTTATTCTGCAGTATAATTCAGTATGCAGTACTATGTAAAGACGCACCACAATACAAAACACAGGTTAACTAGGCCTTTTCCTGATTACATTTTGTTGAACTGTAAAAACAGCTGATCTAAACTATAGAAATACATTGTAAATAAACACTAATGTGCCCAGTGGTGAAATGGAGAACTGATTGAGAGCAAGGGAAATCAGTTGACCCCCTTGCTTGGAAAATCAGTTTTCCATTGCTCTAAGTTAGAAGTGTTGTTATCGAAAATAGTTACATTCTGAACGGATTCATGAACAAATTATCAGTTTTTTTTTACCAAAAAGAGAAGATTTATTCTTTTCTTCATAAAATTCTTACTTTTTTCTGTGTACATACATTTATAATTTAATTTCGTACACATGACGAAATGTCAAATTTTCAAATAAAACTGATTTTTACTACTACAGGCATACACACAAAACAGCCTTTACCCTTGACATAGCTTTTCTACCATTGGACATTCTCCATATTCTGGTATAAAATAATATATTAGCCTGCTTAGCACCATAAAGTATTTAACCAATTTAAAACTATTTATTTAAATTTATAAGTTTATTTGAATTATTTTTGTCTGGTAAAAAAGTTTATGTAAGATTGGGGACTTTTTTTCAATTAGGCTGCAGTAGTTGTTTATGTTATCGTAGTTTAAATAATTGTAGACACAATTAATGTATTGATAATGTACGATTTGAGTAAAGATAATCGTATTTTTTTAAATTGATATTTGTTTAAAATTGGCAATTTATGAAAATTTACGCTCATTTTTTTACCAAATCTATCAACATCATAGCCGTCGTAAATGTTTTATGAATCATTGTGCAAATTTTCAGATTAAAGATATAGTATTAGATTGGTAAACTCTTACCTTTAGCATCTTGGGATTTTACATCAATCGAATCCCAATCTTGGTAAAACCTTTCACAGATTGTACGCCAAGCTCTATCGCGGAAGTTCCTGTCTGAATACTCAGTGAGTTTCTTGTCCCAAAGGCAGGGCTCGTCTTCAACAAGTCTAATGAGATGCTCAATGTCAAACATTTTACCGACAAAAACTACGATGATGACCTAACACAAACGAAGTATATAACTGATGCACTATTGTCAAAGAATCGCACTCGCATGCGGTAGAATCGCACGGTGTGACTGGCTCGACAAGACTGCGTGTATTGTCTCTCAGCGCTCCCCCCTCCACGCGAGAATATCGCGCGAACAATCGCATCCGATACAGTCGCATCCGATAGCGTGGCATTCGATAGTACCGCATCCGACAGTCACATATATCGCGTCGCGTAGTGTGTGTCTCAACAGAATATGCGTGGTCATTCGGTATCTATAAACGTGATTCTGATACAGTACTGGTTCTTTGTGTAAACCACTTTCATGAATCATTGTTGATGTTGACAATGACATGATGTCTATCTGCGTTAAACTTGAAGTGTATATGCAATACTTAAACTGAAATTGTATTCTGTGTGCAAGTAACTTGAATTGTATTTTACCATAGATTAAACAGTATATTTAATCTACGATTTTACTAAATCAGTTAAGAGTAAAAGTGGACAATAAACAATTGAAAGCTATATTGCAACCATACACTGCCGTGTGTGCAATTTATGGCATCGTAATCAAAATTATGTAAATAGTTCACAGCACTTAGGCCAGGCGCACACAGGCGATTTTGAGTTGCGCAACAGTTGCCCGACTAATCGGGGGACTGTTGCGCAACTCTCTCGGAGACTCTGAAGTCTAGCGACTCGACAGTTGAGCTGGAGTGCGCACACAGGCAACTTTTTAGTCGCGGATCTAGTCTTGAGACGTGTTGGAAATACATTCGTTAATCGTTACAGCGTTCCGAATGGATTTCAATGATACAGCCGTAGTATGTGCTTTGTTGCTGAAGTTTCGCGCGCGAAAGAAAAAGAGAAGATACTGGGTTCATCCTATATATATAGTGAGCGACTTGTGAAAGGACAGTTTCAATGACTTTAAATATAGTCGGCCTCTTCTCAACTTCATCAATTAATTGTAAGACATCCTCATCACGCACACTCATACTTGTAATTTTCTAAAATCTTCACACAACAAGAGAGCAAACACTAGTGGCAGTGTTGGCCACGAGTAGTTGAACTCCTGGGGTGAGACTGGGCGACACAGCGACTATTTAGTTGCATGTGTGCGCATCTACACTCGTTTCAATGGATACCAAACCTGGAGCGATAGTCCCGCAACAATTCAGTCGCAGAGCAGTCGCTGGCAAATTGGGTCCTTAAAGAATCATTTTGGGTTCTGATTGTTATGAACCAAAATTGTGTTAACTAAATTTTGCTGAAAAATGAATCTTCGCTGATGTTGACAATATACAGTATAATAATGTCTGAGGCACAACTTTCCATGGAAATATTGAAAAGTCTGCCTGTTTTCGTATATCCATTCGTACAAACATATTATATTCCAAGCCTATTTTGTCTACTAAGTTTAATAATTTACACCAGTGCCTGTAAATTTACATTACGTTTTCATCAATTTCAAAATGATATCTACAGACAAAGCAAATCGTTATGAAGATTATAACATCTTCAACAGCTGCTATCCAAAGGGTGACGTGTGAAGCATATTAAAGACAATGGGATGTACATCAGTGGTGTGCTGATGAGTGAAGGGATATAGGTGGGGGGGGAGGTAAGTGTAACCGGAAGTTGACGCAATTGTTGACACTTCCGCCGCCGTACACCGGAAGTGATGTTTGAACACCCAAATAACTGTCTGACGATGTTTGTTTATGTGAAGGATGCTCTCAAGTGAAAGAGTCAATGTTTATTTACTGTAAAGTATAGGCCTAATTGTTATTGCTGTTACTGTTTGCAACCGATACATTTAGTAATTACTGTAGTTGCTACTGATGCATTATGTGTATGTGAGTAGTATTTTACTTTGAAAAGAAAGTAAACGCTGTATTAATCAAACTAAAAACGTTGAAATGTTGATTCGGTTTTGAATTTACAAGACGATGACATGTTTCTTAGTGTTGAAAATAAGAACTAATTGGATTTGATAATCTTCAATCGTGATGTATTAAATTGTTTACATAGTTTTGTATTGGGAATGGGGAAATACTGCTTTAAAGTAAACAATAACATAATTTAGGCTACGTTTTAATTTCCCAATACAGGAATTAGTTCGAATTTATTGCTGACCAATACTTTATTCAAGTTTTTCTAGACTTAATTATTTATTAACCTTGCTACAAGGTGGTTCGTGACATAAACATAACCCAGGTACAAACATGAAATCTTTCCAAGAGTTAAATAAACGGATCTCTAGACATCTAAACAATTGATTGACTCTGAAATCAAGTATAAATAGAATATGTAAAATAATGGTTACATTCTGAAATGCAACACACTATTAAGCTTTTAATTCAAATAGACTATCTTTTTCCTACAGTCACCCGACAAAGTTGGCTTCCTTGCACTGAATATAGTACAGAAAGCTGCCAATTGCTGCATTTACTTACTTTGTCGCACCGTTTATACTTTTTCGCACGGTTTATTGCACACCAGGATTCCAACCAAACAACAACACAAAACAGCGTGGTTTTTATTATTATATGCACGTAATCCGTGTACGCTTTGAAATAGGTTGGCAAAACTTAAAGATACTACCACTATGATCAGCTGATTGAATATTGATACTACGATTTAACCTGTCATTTCGTGTTTATATTCTATTTTCTTTCAACGCATTGTTTGAACATAGCCTAAAGCGTAGTATTTGAAATCTATATATATAAAAGGCAAAGCCCTCACTGACTCACTCACTCACTCACTCATCACTAATTCTCCTACTTCCCATTTACCTAGGAGGCTGAAATTTGGTACACTGATTCTTTAGGCATTAAATAGGAAAACTAAGTTGTTTTTATTTTGATCGTACTCTCGGGCTCCGCCCCAGTGGCTCTGGAGTTTCCCATGTTAACCTTATGAGTACTCATATTTAAATGGAATTAATGAATCTTAACAGTTGGTTCTGTTCTATGATGTCCAATAGCATTAAAGTTACAAGGATTACCAACAGGGTGCAGCACTATTATTTTCTGTAATTTATGACAACAGCTAATTTGCAACCAAAAGGTGAGTGAGCGTAGCGAACGAACTTCAACCTGGAGGCGAGTTAGCGTAGCGAACGAGCTAACCTGAAGGCAAGTGAGCGCAGCGAACGAGCTCCAACATAAAGGTGAGTGAGCGTAGCGAACGAACTTCAACCAGGACGTGATTGAGCCATGCGAACAAGCTCACTTATGCTTATTAAGTTAAACGGGGCGAAGCCCGCGGGTACAGCTAGTATTAATTATAAGTGGGACTACTAGTATTAAAAATAATGAACTCACTACTCAGTGAAAGTGATTGTGAATGTATGTGTATACCAGAAGAAAGAGCAGAAACTGCAAAACGTGTTTCATTCAACCTGTTACCTGAAAAATCAAGAAAGAAGAATGAACGAGCATACGAACTGTTTTCCTTTTGGTGCGTAAGTATTTATTCTATTTGCCTGTAAGTAAGAAGAAAGTTACATAATTCTCAGAAAATGTTTTATTGGCATATTTTGCAGAACAATCCACTTGTTATTCTGTTTATACTGATTATTACTATTTATACGTGTACTCTTGAAAATAAGTAAATCAGCTAGCATCACGCGTGTGCAGCAAAGTGCCAATTTGCTCACTAGTTACACAAATAACTATTTTCATAATGATTGCCACACGGCAATTAATTTCCCAAACAATAATGATCAGAACCAGTCTTTATTTCAGCTTTAAGTACATGATCAACATCAAAATGACCGACAAGATAAAAGCACGACACTTGCTATTGTGAAAGAAGTCATTTTTGAATTAGAAGACACAAAAACTAACCCTCCCACACAAGGGGTGATCCTTGTTTTCACAACTGGGCAGATATGATTAGGAGTGGAAAAATCGCTTCAACGGTGACGGGTCGGGTTTCATAGGGGATGAAACGGCAGCTGTACGAACCCTCTTTTATTCTTCTCACTTTATCCCTATCCCCCTTCTCAAGCACACACGCACACACACACAGGCCGGCGAGGGGGCGACAAGCATGAATTAAGTATGAAGCGTCGAGTAGCATTCCTAAACGGTTTAATTGATTTTCCATTAGTGAAGAGTATGAAATCTACATAAACCCGAGACAACGACCCCCGAGCGCCGGGTCATTATCAAATTGTAACAAAACACCTCCCCCCTTTCCACCACATTGTCGTATGAATATTTTCTAACAGCTGTCATGTTGAGGGATTTCAGGAGGGAGATTCTGAAATAAGTTGGAAGATTAATTTTGTGGATCAAAAATACTAACGATATTCATAATGTATACTTGCTTTTGATTGTGTCTTCCCTACTTTTTAATCGAACATAAGATCATGTACGGGTAGTAAAATATATATCGTATACCCTTATGGGGTACGGACAACAGATTTTCATTTTGATGTTAAACGTAAAACGTAAATGACTATGTACATCAGATTTAAACTGTTTAATCTTATTATTAGACTGGTATTTTACCCCGTAAACTCGTTTGTTAAGGATTTAGTAGGATTGTAGTTTTATGTTTTTTGTATAAATATTGTTTGGTATTATCACAATGAAGAATTATTGTACTTCTGATAAGGTGCCTTCTTTGCGATATTTTCAATTTCGAAAAGGAGCTTGCCAAATTCAAACAAAATAGTAGTTAAGTACAGAATTCTTCTCAAAATGTTTGCCGAATGTACAATTTTTTTTGCCTTTCAATACAGATAAGAGACATCTTATGGTTTTTTTTCTTGTAATTCTAAGAGTTATAAAGTTGACGGTTCTTAAAATTCAGAGCTGTTCCAATACGTCCACTCATTCTGGAGGTTTCAGGTACAACCATGGTACAACCGTACTGATCATAATCTGTACATGTTCTCACTCACAACCACTTTATGTGCTTTTTCGGCAACAAAATCTTATTGTGTCTTGTTCTTGAAAAGTTGAAATTCTACACAAAGGATGTTGGCTCTTAAAGTTCCCAACTAAATCTGTACAATAAATACCTTACTACACTCATTTTTGCCCAGTAAT